TATATATATATAGTAGTAGTCTCCTGTAATCCTGCCACACGGAGATAATTACATTCATATTGTGCTATGTATCTTTTCAGATGTTTTTATATGTCTGTAATCACATAATCTGTAATCAATTCCACCCAGAGGCACCTTAGAAGAAAGGCCTGGGGATCTACTTCTGAAAAATCAGCCTTGGAACACAGGTTGATTCTGAGACACACGGGGGTTGCCATGAGTCAAGCCCAACTCACTGGCAACTAACAACAACAATAACAACATATTCTAAATGTATTGTTGTTATGTGCCATGGAGTCGGTTCCAACTCATAGCCACCCCGTACAGGGTTTCCGAGGTTGTTGTTATGTGATGTGAAATCAAAGTGAAAGATAGTACAGCTCACATCAACCAAGTTTCTTATGTTTTGGAGCCCTGCTGTGGTGCTGTAGGATCAGCACAGCAGTACTAACCTCAAGGCTGGTGGTTCAAACCCCCCAGCCACTCCTTGGAAACCCTATACAGGGCACTATGAGTCAGAACCGACTTGATGGCATGTCACCGCCACCACAACACTTACGTTACGGTGTATGAAAAAAATATTTGAAGTCGTCAGTGAGCACCTAAACGTAATTTATTATATTTCTCTGTGACGAATTGGGATAAATTCAGTCTAATGTTTTAAATGGCTCAAATAGTGCAAGAGAAGGGAAAGGTCATTTACTGAGAAAGCCCAGATGTAAGGCTGTAACCTGTGCAGGAAGCAAAGGGCCACCGGTGGCAGCTCCCCCTTATTCACTGAGTGTGTTTGCTCACTGCCCATTGTGCATTCTCACCTGCCCCTTCCTCTAGAAAATGATGAAGGACAACAACTTGGTGCGCCACCTGGACGCCTGTGAGACCATGGGTAATGCCACCGCCATCTGCTCAGACAAGACGGGCACGCTGACCACCAATCGAATGACGGTGGTACAGGCCTATGTCGGTGACGTCCACTACAAGGAGATCCCTGACCCCAGCTCCATCAATGCCAAGACCATGGAGCTGCTGGTCAATGCCATCGCTATCAACAGCGCCTACACCTCTAAGATCCTGGTAAGCAATGCCAGCCACACCACTTGGGGTAGCCACTACAGGGAATGACATCACTGGGATACTGGGCAGGTTGAGCAAAGTGACGCATCGTTGTTTCATTGTGCTTTATCTTTTGTTCTTATTGCAGTGAATGCGTATGCAACAACGTATTTGCCATTTCAACATTCCTTATGTGTCTAATTCAGTGGCATTAATTATGTTGTTCAGCTACCAACATTATCCATTTCCACATGTTTCTATCAGAAGCTCAGTACCTTCTAAGCAGTGAAGTTCCCTTTGCCCCACCTGCCCATGGTAACCACTGGGAAATTTTGGTCTCTATGCATTTGCCTATTCTAGATAAGTGAGGTCATGTAATATCTGTCCTTTTGTGACTGACTTATTTCATTCAATATAATGTTCTCAAGATTCACCTATGTTGCATAATGTGCCAGAGCTTCCTTTTTCTGTATGGTTGAGCCGTATTCCATTTTGCTAATCCATTCATCTATTGATGAACACTTGGGTTGGTTTCACCCTTTGTTGTGAATTATGCTACGATGAACATTTGTGTACATGTATCAGTTTTGTTCCTGCTTTAAGTTATTTTGGATATTTACCTAGGAGTGGAATTGCTCGTTCATATGGCTAGTGTATGTTTCACTTTTTGAGGAACCACCGAACTGTGATTTGTGTTTTTAAGTCCTGCTGCTATTTGGGGGAATGATCAAGTAGTGAGAGACTTGTTTCTCTTTCCTTTAGCGTTCCATTAACATCGGTGTCATATTTGTGTGACTGTGTTAGTCAGGGCTCTCCAGCGAAACAGAAAGATAAATCGATCATTTATTGTGGATGTTTCCAATGTAGGCCTGCACTAGTGTCATGCAATACATACCTTTACCTGTACACGAAGGTAGCTAGGTAGAGAGTTTGTTGAAAGCGTTGGTTCATTCAATGTTCCAAAATCCATACACCAGGCAAACTGGAAACTCTAGCAGGATGTTTATTACTATATTACAGTCTTGAGGCAGCATCTTTCTTCTTCAAGAAATCTCCATTTTTAACATCTCCATCTGATTGGATAGGACCCAATTACTTTAATCTACTTTACTTAAAGTCAACTGATTGTAAATGTTCATCGCATGTAAATACCTTCATAGTAATATCTAGACTAGTGTTGGACTCAACAACTTAGCACCATAGCCTCACCATGTTGACAAGTAAAATTAACCATAACAATGAAAAAAAAAAAAAGATTGTCATTGTGCTTTTAAATCCTCATTGACAAACATTTTGGGGGGAGATTATGTTACATAAAAAATCACACCAAAACTGAATGGCTCAAAACAAAACAAATGTGTTTAGCTCACAATTCTGCATGTCAACAATTCAGGCTGGGTTCAGCTGGGTGGTTCTTCTGGTCTTGGCCAGACTCCCGCATGCATCTGTGGTTGTTCAAGTGAACAGCTCTGCCGATATTAGCAAGCCATGGCTTTGGACAGGCCCAGTGTCACTTCACTCTGATCTATTGGGCAACACAAGTCAGGAGGCCAGCCTAGCTCAGGACGGAGAAAGTAGACTCCACCCCTTAATGCAAAGTCACATTGCAAAGGGGATGGATTCAGAAAGGGGAATAACTGTGGTCTGTTCACAATATACCACAGAAGATGCTGTTAGTAGTAGTATTACTACTAGTAATACTAGTTTTGGCAGGAAAAACTCTTATTACAATCTCAGATACGCTGCTTAAAACGCAACATTCCATCATCTTTGTTGTTTGAGAAGCACAGGTTGTCTCTTTGTAATTAACCAGCAATCGATTCCAGAGAAACATGCATTTGCCCATCTGGACATCAGTCACAACCAGATGTCTTTCAGACATTCTTGAAATGAGCATCTGGGAAATCAGCTTTGCATGTTTGCTTATCTTCTAAAGCCCTGACCTCTCCCTTCTGCCACTGAGCCAACTCTAACCCTCACAATCAGACTGGGTTTGGGCGAACCACCAGCTGCTTTACTGAGACGGGGAGAAGAGCATGAGTCAGCAGCAGAGCATCCAGAGCTGGTGTGGGGCCGAGGAGAGGCAGCTCTGCCCACAGACACTGGGGCTACAAGCACAGCACACTCCACTTGGATTGAGTAGCCACCGCCTCACTCTGGCACTGCCAGCAGTGGAGACAGAATTCATAAAAGGGGAAAGTAGGTCGAGAGACCACGTGCCAACAAATGATAGAGAACCCTGGGGCTGATGCCAGAAGTGACGACAATTTCTGTCTTCTTTTTTACCCCAGCTGGGAATGGGGGGGAGAGACGGGGGCCAGAGATGCTCGATTCTACTCCCCAGCCTTCCTAAAATAACCGAGGCGCTGTTAATGATCTCGTCCCATAGCAGGCTTCAGGAGGAGGGGGCAGCTGTGGAGGTAGAACCTTGTGAGATGGGCTTGGATTAAGATGTTACAGCCGAAGGGGCTGAGGAAACATCTCCACAGCAAGAGGTCTCAATTAGTCCATGTTTCTCAGCACTGCCAGCATAACTTAAGTCTCATTTGCAAATGGAGATTTCTTGAAGAAGAAAGATGCTGCCTCAAGACTGTAATATTTGGTTGACTGAGATAGTGTGTCTAAGTAGCACCTAAGTCGGGGGTCAGTTGATCCACCTGGGGAGAATGTGTAGCTGCTGGGCCCAGAGAAAGGTTGATGAGCAAGAAATGGGGATTGTTGATTCGTAACTCAAGTCAAATCACTGTCCCCTCCTGTACCTTGAGCCAAGCATCCTGGAATCCCTGTGCCTCACTTTCTGGGTTGTTTCAGGCTCCCTTTGCCCAGAGCTGACATCCATAGGTATGAGAGGGACATCAGAGGCCCGTGGTATGGCAAGGTAGCAGTTAAAACTCATACTCAGAAGCCAGGTGGCCTGGATTCGAATCCCTCACTAGCTGTGTGAATGTGCCTCATCTTCCTGAAGAAATAATAGACTTATTGTAAGGATAAGTGAGTTCGTCGTCAATGGGAAGTGCCTGACTCATATGTAGTACTTCCGTATGGTTGATGATGTCATTGTTGCTACCCAGCCATGCCATTACCCAAGGGGTGTCCACTTGCAGCAATGCAAGGCTCACAGATAAACAAGTGACAGCATCAACATCAGAGCTAGAGAGAGAAAGGGTCTTGTCCAAATCCACACAGGCAGTGAGTGGCAAAACCCATTCAGAATCCATACATCCTGTCTCCCATGCCCTGCATACCCCAAGCCTGCTGCTGACTTGTCCAGACCAGCTTCCTGGTCATTGAGAACCAATCCCGCAGCCTCTTTTTGCCTACTGTGGTCTGAGGAAGGAACACCTGGACTCCAGAGGACTCAGCCAGGCGCTGCCCTCCTGGCCCCAGATGAAGACTGAGAAGAGATACAGGTGCTCAGTCCAGGGGAGAGGTCCAGCCACTCACCAAACCAGGAAGGGAGATCTAGACTGCAGGACTTTCTAACACCACACAAGAGGAGAGGAGAGAGGGCAGGAAGGACATGCATTTGTCCTCCCCACACTACCCTCAGCTCTGATTGGAAAAGGAAACTGGCCCAGGGCAGTAATTCCTGTGTCTTGCTGTCTGATGCTGAAGGAGACTGTGAACTCCTTGAGAGCTGAGTCATCTCTGTATGATTGGCAAAGGCTCTTGGGTAATACCAGGTGGATAAGCGAATTGATGGGTGAATAAATGGATAGTTGTGCAGTTGATGGGAAGAAGTGTAGGGAGAGAGAGGAATAGATGGGTGGATAGATGTGTGGATGGAATGAATGAGTGGCTGAAAGGATAGATGGATAGATGTTGGATGGTTGGATGGGGCAATATGAATGGAGATGGTCTCAAGACTGGACATCTTTACCCTCTCTTTTCCTGTTCTTGAGGCAGCCAGAGGTAGGAGGTAAGAGACACTAATTCTCTCTTAGCATGTCTAGTCTACTCGGCCAGCCAACATCCTCTGCAATCTCCCTCAGCCATCCCAGCTGCATTGTTCCTGAGACCTCCTGATTAGCTGATGCCTTTGTCTGAAAAGAAAATGAGGTCAGGTTGTATGTTTGTAGTCTCCATGCAGACCACCTACTCAAGCTCCCAGGAAATCCCTCAATGATGTTAGAGCCCAGATATCCTGACACCCAGTGCAGGAAGTAATGGTTAAGAGCTTTGGCTCTGAAATCCAACACACCAGGGTTCAAATCCCAGCTCCAGCATTCACCACTGTGTCACTTTGAGCTACTTAAGCAATCTGAGCCTTTGTTTCCACATCTGTGAAACAGGCAGCTAGTGAATCATAATTACTAACATTTACAAGCTGCCATCCAGGCGGCCCCAACTCATGACCATCCCATGTACTATGGTATGGGGTCAGACCCTTGTAATCTGTGGGGGTTTTCATTGGCTGATTTTTGGAAGACGATCTCCAGGTGTTTCTTCCTACTCAGCATCACAACAACACACAAGCCTGCATTGACAGATGGGTGGTGGCTGTGTATGTGGTCGGGGAACATCTGGGTCTCCCACATGGGGGATAAGAATTCTACCACTAAGCCACCACTGCCTCCAACAGGCCCTTACCCAAGTTCAATGCGAAATGCTTAGCATATGGTATCTTATAGGACAACCCATGAAGTAGGTGATAGCACATTTCCAGTTCATAGTTAAGACCACTGAAGCAAGAGCAGTTGAGGGACATGCCCAGAGTCCCATGGTGGACAAGAGGTCCAGTCCATCTGACCCCAAGTCTAAGCAGCTCGACACTGCATGTCTATGCTGCATGCGGCTCTGGGCCTGCCTTACCTGCTGCTGTGAAGGTCAAACAAGGCTGTGTACATAGAGCACACAGCGTGGAGCTCAGCTCACATTATTCTTCTATCATTTTCTCTAGTATATTTCTGAGCCTGACCCTTGGCAGTTAATTTTGCCAGCTGCTAACTATGCTTTTCAGGAAATCAAAGCAAATGGGACCATTCCCATCTTGCAGCTAAGAAAACAGAGTTTCAGAACCA